AATTTAGTGAATATTGAAATAATACAAAGGTATTACGAATAATAAGGGACGTAATAAATTATAAAAAAAATTACCTGAAATAGAACTATCGTCAAAGTTAATTAGTCTTGGGAGACGTTTGATGTATTTCTTATAATACTACCAGATTTTAATAGGATATTTTACATTTTAATTATTATTTAATGGGAGCCTTGATAATAGCATTAATTAACAAGCTAGATTAAAACCTTCAAAAGAGTAGCCAGAAATAAGTTCCTCTCGCGTTGATTATCAGCCGTCCAGAGATATGGTTTGTTTATTGTTACAATAAATGAGAGAGACTAAGTTTATTAGAATCTATTAATATTGAAGTCTCGGAAAAGAAACCAGATTAACATATTCTGATAAGAATAATAACTTACATCAACAATCTCTAAACACTTAATATCTTCCAGCGGCCATGTTCTACCGATTGAGAATGTATTATTTGCATTTCTTTTTGATTTGTGAAGGCGTATTTTGCCATTTCTCCGTACTGTGTAAAGAATTTATTGTGATAAGCGAACATGAACCATATCTTATTATGACCCTTAAAAATCTGAGAAGTTCATATCACCCTAAGTTGAATGACTCAACGTTAGGATGGCTCGAGTGGGCGTATGTGATAAAACTCACGATATCGATAACAAAGTTACAAGATGCAACTCACTTGAGACTAATAAATATCTAGATTTTTTCTCTACCTTGGATGCCCCTTTTTTGCCAAGGGTACCTGGCCGTTCGTTTGTGGGAGATGGTCCTGTTCCTGTAGAATCTTCTGATACTTTCAAGTGAATGATCAACGATTCGCTCGCAAGGGAGTTCGCTAAGGATCACACAAGATCAATATGAAAGCCTTAAAGAAAGATAAGAATTTTTACTATTTCAACAGTAGTTGACAAACCTTGCGAAGGATCTTCAGTCACCTCAGGGAAGAGTGAGTTTATGATTAACTGTCTAATGGGATCGGAAGATGGTTGTCTGGTATCAGCCATATATCACATATATCGTTTCGAAATGTAATATCGATGTTCTTATGGACTTTTTTTTGTGCAGTCACTTGTGTTACATATATTTCTGCATTTCTCACAAAATTCCGGCAGGAACAAGATTATACTTTTTTCGGCGAATTTAAAATTACTCCGACCAATTACCGCTACGACTTATTACGTTTTCAATGTAAAACCGGTTTAATCTAAAATATCTACTTTATATAAAAAGAGCTTCTCTCGAATTGAAACTATGAGCCGAGTTAGAGGCAGGACCGTCCATGTTGCACAATATTTTCAATTGATAAAATATTTTTTTATACGTTTTCAACACTTTTTTCGGAAGCCCGGGTACTTTAACCCCTTGGTAAAGGAGTTTATCGTTCTAAGTAAACTTGATGCTTTCACTCTGCCCTACATAAGGGAGGCGCATTCACTAATTTTACCCCAGGTTTCACGATTTTGGCCAATCAGAGGACAGGATCAGGTGTAACGTGAAAATTAAAATAATCACCTGATTTTTGAAACCATTTTTTGTATTCTAATAAAAAAAATTTCTTGCGAAATTCTAACCTTAACCAAGACGTCACATTTTAAAAAAAAGATGACATGTAAACAACTCAAGCCAATCAGAAACCT